GGGGAAGGCAAATCACTTTCCCGTAACTAACCCTACCTAGATAACAGCAGTAAAACGCTGCTGCCTCACAATCAATTTTAAATGTATATATAAAGATACGAATCACGTTCCTATTTAAGTCCGCTCGTAAAAAAACTAAGGAAAATTTTTGTGGATTAGTATTCAACAGACATTACTCAAGTCACGAAATTTTGTCATAATGGAAAACTAATTTTTATCATAAATGAGGGTCCTGTTTATAATACAAATACAGTATCAGTTCGATCCCTGACTTCTTACCGTCCTGGGTAAGGCGATAAAATACGTCCAATGGCAAAGCCTCTGATCAGGAGGTTTTGAGGAGCGTGGAGCCACCTCTTAATAGTTGGTGTTCCTAGGTCCACCCTGACCCGGGGTTGTAGCACCTGTTAGGGTCCCAGCTATGAAAGTGTAAAAATAAGTTTTAATACCAATAATACATTTTTGAAAAAATTATTACAGCAATAGATTTTGAAAGAAAAAAAAATAATACCAGCAATAGTTTTTTGAAAGAAATTATTATTACTAGCAATACATCGCCCCCCCCTCCCATGAAATATTAAGAGTAATATATTTTTGAAAAAAATAAAATATTGCCAGCAATACATTTGGAAAAAAATTAATACCAGTAATAAAAATCTTGTCAGCAACCACCTGTTAATTGCTGGTGTTCCCAGGTCCACCCTGACCCGAAGTGGTAGCACCTGTTAGGGTCCCAGCTATGGGCAAATCGTTAGCCTGTCAAAGCACTATGAAAGTGTAAAAATAGGTTTTAAAAGCAGCCATACATTTTTTGTAAAAAAATTATTATCAGCAATGAATTTTTTAAGAAAAAAAATATTACCAGCAATATATATATATATATATAAAATATTACTAGCAATAAAAATCTTGTCGGCATTAAATAACCCTTTAAGGTTGATATACCGTTAACCAGAACAAACTAAACCAAATTTGACTTCTTAAAGGGTAATCTGTATTTTTATTTACCAATATAAAGCTTCAATCCGTACTTACGTCATTAGTAACTGCTTATTATTACGAATTAAAAAAAGGATAAAATCATGTGTATGCAGTTATCAATAAATAAATCAGGGACCCCCACTTATAAAATGATAAAAATTAACATTTATGGATTCTGAAAAATATCATGGCTTTTAGAAATGTCTAATGAACGTTTATTTTTTTTTAAATATCGCCTCCCCCCCAATCCCCCTCCCCTTTTTGAAAGAGGATTATTCAATTGAAGTAGTGTCCAAATCACAGGACACATTCAACGGTATCGAAATATATGTGAGCCTACAGAAAGATATTGAGAATACCATGGGCCGAACATGTGAGCAAAGAAGAAGTTTCAGAAAAAACAAGGAAACAAAAAGCATACTTATACTTAACATCAAAAAGAGTCAGTTGAACTCTATGGGACCCATATTAAGGAAAGAGGGCTTGGAAAATCTGACACTCACAGGACAGATTGAAGGCAAGAGGGTCAGAGGAAAACCACGCATAATCTGCTTAACGAACTTGAGTAAGTGGATAGTGGAACAAGGTTTAAGTAAGATAACAAAATGGCAAAATTTATTAAGAGGTATTAGGGATAGGATATTGTGGAGAGCCATGATCGCCTATGTCCTGAAGGGACACGGCACATAGAAGAAGAAGAAGAAGAAGAAGAAGAAGAAGAAGAAGAAGAACGATAAGTTAATGATAGATAGATAGATAGATAGATAGATAGATAGATAGATAGATAGATAGATGTATAGATAGATAGATACTATCTATCATCTATCTATCTATCTATCTATCTATCTATCTATATATCATGGGAGTGACCGCAAAACATCGCTGGCAAATATTTTTATCCAATCACATTCGGACATGTTCCCATTTCGCGTAGTCTATAGGCATACGATCTCTAGTGATGCAAATCAAATCGTCTGTTTCAATTTCGATTAAAAAGTTTTTGAATCCAGCATACATTATATTTTACGAAAATAGTCGACCAAAAACGTATTCGTTTTTTGTTTTTTTTAGGTTATATCTTCCTTTCAATACATAAAAATGTTTAATGGATACAAATTGGTTACATTATTTTTACTCTGTCTATCAATTTGTGGTCTGTAATGAGCGAATTTGGGCCGATTTCTTCAAAATCGGCCAAAATTCGAAGAAGAGACTCGAGGCGATGGAGATGTGGTTCTACAGAAGGATGCTGAGGATATCATGGACCGAGCGTGTGAGCACATAGAGGGAAAGAGAGAGAAAGATTTTATTTAATATATATGATATTGATTTATAAATAAAGAAAAGAATACTGAGCTGTTACGTGACATCTGTCCTTTACGGCAGCGAATTTTGTACGATTTTCTATAAGATGAAGAAGAGACTCGAGGCGACAGAGATGTGGTTCTACAGAAGGATGCTGAGGATATCATTAACCGAGCGTGTGAGCAACAATGACGTTTTAGGGAGGTTGCAAACAAGAAGAGGCTTATACATAATATCAGGAAGAGGCAGCTGAAGTTTCTGGGACACATAATGAGGAAAGAGGGCCTGGAGAATCTGATACTCACGGGTCGAATAGAGGGAAGGAGAGACAAGGGAAAACAAAACATGACATAGCTGGTGGACTTAAGCAAGTGGATGACAGAACGAAGGAACGTGTTAAGAGCTACAAGAGATAGAGGGATGTGGGGAGCCATGATCGCCTACCTCCTGAAAGGACATGGCGCTTGCCACACCATATGTCGTTTCACTCCCCCGCTCAAGCAAGGCGATAAAGTCACTAAAACATGGTGTTGTGGGTACGGAGAGTGAAGAAAATTGACAAAATGGAGAAGAAAGGACAATAAAAAAAACGCATTCAAGGAGACAAAAGACGTCGCTGTCTGTATCTCTGAGATGAGGTATTATTTATATTACTTGGACCGCTATCCTTATCTTCATTGCCATATCCACAACGTTTCGGCCGTTGTACGCTCCGGCCTTCTTCAGGTGATTGTACAACGGCCGAAACGTTGTGAATATGACAATGAAGATGAGGATAACAATTCGAATAATGTAAATAATGCAAGTAATCATAATATCCCATCTCAGAGATTCAATCACCTGAAGAAGGCCGGAGCGTACAACGACCGAAACGTTGTGAATATGGCAATGAAGATGAGGACAACAGTCCAAATAATGTAAATAATGCAAGTAAATATAATACCTCACCTCAGAGTTATAGACAGTGAAAGATTATTAATAATTAATTTTTGAACATTGTAGTTGAGAGGAAAGAAACAAGCTGGGAGAGTGTCCCACAGGGGAGAAGTGCGAGAGAAGAAACTGTTAGCAGAGAACTTACGATTACATCTAGCCATTTCAAGAGTAAAATGATGGGACCAAACTGCCAATCTAGTACTGCGCTTAAATTAATGCAGTCAAAGTACCAAAGAACAAAGCTCATTAGCACAATTACCATAAAAATATTTACAGAAAAGACACAAGGAACCTACATTATGGTGGTGGGAAATTGATTGAAACGGAGTTGCTAGCTCAGGACCGATAACATTGCAAATTCTTCTTTAAAGATTCTGGAACAATATAAGCAAAGAATATTCTAAACCAGCGGGATAAAATCAATAAGCAGGATACTATTAGTCCAAACAACTTCTTAGATAATGATTCCTCACAGAATCTAATAGAGTTTTATTTTCTAATTCTAAGCTATACACCATGGAATTTCTATAAGGCTAATAAAAAGTCATTAAAATATGAAAAATACGCACGCAAAATCATTAGCATATGACATTTGCCAACCGGTAATACCAATTTGGAAAGTGATATTTAGAATGTTAACTTCTCGGACCATTTAAGGACGACCAATCCACAATAGGCGCACATGAATTGTGGCCTTGAGCCATACGAAAAGGTGCGTGGTAAACATCAACAGTAGTCTTCTAAAATGATGTACACTAGCGATGAATGAGAAAGAAGAAATTTTATAATGTCAAGGCATGATTTTTATTCATGATCACAACAGCGAAGAGTAAGGTTTTCAAAGTCTATTATAGTGACATCGACAACCACTGACAGCTATACATTCATAGCCTTGAACCGAACTAACCTAAGTAATTATATTAAATAATCTATGGTAGGTGTTTATTTACATTATTTATATCGTTCGGACTGTTGCCCCCAATTTTTATTATCATATTCACGACGTTTTGGCTGTTGTACGTTCCGGCCTTCTTCAGGTGATTGGAATTTCAAATTGAACACTTTATTTTGTCCACCGGAGTAGATTGTTCTAGTTGAACGGCCGAAACGTTGTGAATATGACAATAAAGATGAGGAAAACAGTCCGAACAATGTGAATAATGTGAACCATTGCAATCGTTTATCTCAGAAATATAGACCTGTAATTATTTACTTTTCACTGGCGCCAGTGGAATCAGTTTTTCCAGTTCGGCTCATATTCTAGATATATGGATGTTGATTTTGAAGGCAGAAACTTTTGTTGAAATTTACGCAACTAAAATCTTCAGCCTTGAATCTTTCTTATTCTGTGATAGATAGATAGATAGATAGATAGATAGATAGATAGATATGGACTGCGATAGATAGATAGATAGATAGATAGATAGATAGATAGATAGATAGGGGCTGACATAGATAGGTAGATAGAGAGATAGATAGATTTTAATCTGTAAAAATTTAAATGCAATGTCAATCGCTATCTACTGTCCTCCTGATTCATGTTTTTCTATTTTCGCTCATTATTAATGTTTCTGTTCCAAATTCTTCCACATCCTGTAACCACCTTGTGTCTTAGTAGCTTTGCTGCCTTGCATGGGGTGATTCCGATTTTTAAAAAAAAGAAGATAGATAGATAGATATAAAGGGGCTGACATAGATAGATAGATAGATAGATAGATAGATAGATATAAAGGGGCTGACATAGATAGATAGATAGATAGATAGATAGATAGATAGATAGATAGATAGATATTGCTAATGACTACAGGGACGTCGGCCCAATAAAGAAAAAAAATCACCTTCACCGACTGATTATATCATTCTATAACCTCTTCTTTAAAACCATTATATCTATAGAACCAAAAGAGACTCTCTCTTGATCAATTCTTCCTTTTATTTCTTCCATATTTTAAAATTGCTGATGCAGCAGTTGGCGTGATTACCTGCATGCACCCCTCGGCCTGACGATCATCATGCCGCTACAGCCATCACGACTACTGTTAATCACCAATGCTACTCTAAAATGTCCTACCTGTAGTGGAATTAGTAGTAAAAATAAACACGCTAATGTTGTTGATATTGTTACTACCTCTCCTCCACTTTGAGAGGGAGTTATATAACGGCTTTTAATAAAGCAAGGAGAGATGCAGCAACTACTTCGGTTCGACACTGAGTAGTGTGGTCTGACCGTTCGGGACAGATATATCTGGTCGGAGAAGTGTTGAGATTTGAGTTTTGCACCTTCCTGGGGTGCAGATAAAGGTGTCTGTTGTCTTTTAATTTAATGCATACAGGTAACAGGAGATTCTTCAATTAGAAAAAGAATATTTGCGTGCACGATAGAAATGGACGTATTACAGGCGAATTCAAGAGTTTGGTTGCTTGATTTTGTTTAGCGGCATATCGACACCTCTATGGGTTAATTAATACTGAAATCTAAACATTTTGAATGTAATTTTATGCTTTCAACCACAGTTAATATATATTGCTGGTAATTTTATATCTGTTTATATTTCTGTGATTAGGTATTGTAATTATTTACATTACTTACATTATTCGGACTGTTATCCTCATCTCCATTGCCGTATCTTCATTTACGACGTTTCGGCCGTTGGACGCTCCGGACTTCTTCAGGTGATTGGAATTCCGAACTGAACACTTTATTGCGTCCACCGGGGTAGATTGTTCTAGTTTCACGTGTCATGCCTCTTCCGGATGTTTCTATTATCTCCCTTAAACTCAACTCTTGTTGACTGGATCCAGTGACTTGACCCAAACTGTTGCGAGTTCAATACCTGGCTACTGCAGGGATGAAGAAGGCCAATAAAGATGAGAACCGTGTAAATAGGCCATTTTACAATTATAAAAACCCGAATTCTTCCACATCCTGTAACACCCTGAGTCTTAGTTTCTTTATTGCCTTGCTTGGGGTAATACCGATTAAAAAAAAGAAGATAGAGAGATAGATACATAGATAGATACATAGATAGATACATAGATATAAAGGGGCTGACATAGATAGATAGATAGATAGATAGATAGATAGATAGATAGATAGATATAAAGGGGATGACATAGATAGATAGATAGATAGATAGATAGATAGATAGATAGATAGATGCTGATATATATATATATATATATAGATATGTATATAGATAGATAGATAGATGCTGACATAGATAGATAGATAGATAGATAGATAGATAGATAGATAGATAGATATAAAGGGGCTGACATAGATAGATAGATAGATAGATAGATAGATAGATAGATAGATAGATAGATAGATAGATAGATGCTGATTATATATATATATATATATATATATAGATAGATAGATAGATAGATATAATATATATATATATGACATAGATAGATAGATAGATAGATAGATAGATAGATAGATAGATAGATGCATATATATATATATATATATATATATATATATATATATATATATAGATAGATAGATAGATAGATAGAAAAAGAAAGTAACTTTTGGTAACTTTTTAATATAAGAATGTATTGTTGGTATTTTACTGTGAAAATGTATTTTGATACTGTGATAGTGTCTTCATTTTGCCCATAGCTGTGACCCTAACAGGTGCTACCACCCCGGATCATAGTTGACCTGGGAACAGCAGTAATTAAGATCTGTTTCTACGCTTCCTTTAAACCTCAAATCATATAGCTTGCTGCCGGGTGTCGTTTATCGTTATACCAAGGGATTGCGAATGCAAGGGAAAAGAAAAGTGACATTGGATGAACTGGATAGACCTTTGTGAACCATTGAAGGTTTTCACAGCTTTTTTTTTGTATTTTTTCTTTTTTTTGAATAATACCAAAACTTAATGACAGAAGAAACAAGTACAGAAGTCTAATGTAAATTTATTGATTCGTTTTTGACGGTTTATCAGCCCTTTGCAGGTTATTTACAACCATAAACTATTTTTAGATTGTAAGTCATATTTGGTGATAATAATGGTTTAGTGATTCAAGCTTTAGTGATTAACCCATAACAAAGAGGAGAATATATGAATTCATGCCTTTTCCTAAGATTATTTTCGCGTAAGTGAATATAACACAACTGGAAGTCGGCTCTCTGCTACTAGAACAGTCACCCATCTAGATAATGATCAAGCTCAACATTGCTTAACTTCGGTGATGAGACGGGAATGTAAGCCATATGTCTATTACCTGTCTTTGCAAATTAAAAATTAATCAGTTAGAATTATTTCTCTAACATTAGCATTAAGACATTTTTAAATTGCAACTAAGGTTCGTTTTCAAGTTTTTTGAATTATCATTGTAGCTTACTTAACAATGTTTCCCCTTTTCAGGGGTGGGGGGGTTGATGGCTTTGAACTTTTTAAAATTCTTTGTTCTGCAACCAACACCATCCCGTGACAAGACATCAGAAGTGTTTAAACAAAATAACTAATTTTATAGTGATGTCATAACATGTTTATGTTATAATTTTTGAATAAATACCATATATATATATATATATATATATATATATATATATATATATATAGATAGATAGATAGATAGATAGATAGATATATAGATATAAAAGTGAACATTGAAGTCAACACTTAGGGGCGACAGGCCTGACGATAGCGTCTAGCAAGAAACAGCCTGTCGCCTCTGAGTGTTGACTTTTATATCGATATATATAACTTTTATATTTACACACGCTCTATCTCTGATATTGAGCACTTTATCCCATAAATATAGCAAACTTAAGATATTTCTTCATATATATATATATATATATATATATATATATATATATATATATATATATGTAAGTATAGGATTGGTGCTTACGGAATAAATTCCAATAACCCCAAAATACTATTCTTAATAGTTATTTAACATCGAAAAACAGAAGCAAAAATAATTATTTTTAATAATATGCGGAAATTTCCACGATTTGACTGATGTAGGTCGCGAGACCGCAAACACGTGTAGCAAAAAAGCATAATATATTTGTTTTTTAAAATCCACATTACAACCAAAAACGTTTGCGGTTTCTCTCTTGTTTTTAATATACACATTATTCTCTCGTTGGAACTACTATAACCTCTTCGCTTATATATATATATATATATATATATATATATTTTGAACAATAAAAAAAAATTAAAACCTTCAGACACACCGGGTTGTATATTAATATTCCTTCGTTTTTATTATTAGTTCATTTAGATTCGTTGACTAGTTTCGGCCAACATGGCCATCATCAGAAGAAAAATAATTTTCTGCTTGCTGGTAGCAGTGAACTACAGAAATGAATGTCATGATGGAGAAAATGAACATTTGTCTGTAGTTTTCATTTGTTTTTTTTTAATTCTTTATCTTTTTAACATGAATTTTTTAACATTGTTTTGGACAAACAGTCTCATTTAAGTTGTTATTTAAAATAAGAGATGGGTGGATCGATGCTGCTCTCAATTCCCTTGGTCAGTTTGACAGTTTTATTGGTTCCTGGAAAGGGGATGTGTTTCTATTAAGTATATATATATATATATCTATATATATATATATATACATATATATATATATATATATATATATAAAATCTTATAAGTATAAGTAATTATACTCGTCTGGAAAAACATTAGGTGCTTTGGCTTGTAAATGAACAAACCAATTCCCAAGAAAAAATAAGGTTTTAAAAAAATGAAGAATTAAGAACATGTAATTGAAACAATCGTCCAGAATCCAAGCTCAGAGTCCAAAGAAAAAAAACATTCAACACGAGTAAAGCAAAAATACCTAAGCAAAGTGCTCAAGTCACTGAGGAAATCTAACTATGAACTTAAAGAGCCAGGCAAATCTGCCTAGGTTTCACCTACGCGGGTCGTAAGGGCGTAACCTGACGATCCACGTAGGTGAAAAACCTAGATAGCTTTGCCTGGCTCTTAGGTTCATAGTTATTATATATATATATATATATATATATATATATATATATATATATATATATATATATATATATATATATATATATGTATGTATATATATCTTTTCGGACATATATATTCTGACCAATACGTATGAGTCTTCCATCGCCGAGCACCTGATAAATAGCCATTAGTCACAATTGTGCTGTTAGTTTTAGTGTGGACTCATTTACCATCCTAAGCAAGTGCCACTCAAATTACCACCTAAAAGTGTTGGAGGCCATCTATATTCTATCTTTAAAACCTTCTCTTAGTAAACAGAAGGACTTTATATTAGGCCTCCAATTAATTACAATTTAATTTTTTTCTCACTAATAACCTTTGTTCATTGTTCTTTTTTTATATTATATAATTTTGCTTTAATTACCTCGATTTAGCTCTGTTGAGCGAGGTACGAAACCGGTTAGCTGCCCGTTTTTCATTTTTACTTTTTATTATCATGAGTGGAAATATGGTATTTCGACTTGTAGTAGAACAAACCAGTACCCAAGGAAAAATGAGGAATAAAAAAAAGAAAGAACCAAGAACATTAAACCAAGGCGAAAACAATCGTCCAGAGTTCAAGCTCAAAGTCTAAAGAAAAAAAGCCACCAAAACGAGTAAAAGGCGACAACGTAAAGTGCTCAATACACGAAGTAAAACTAACCGTACTTTAAAATCAGTACAAAATCGTTTATATATATATATATATATATATATATATATATATATATATATATTATACTGAAAAAATTACTAGCCTCGGCTCATTTCCCAATATTATTTATCTGATTAGTGTTCATTTAAAAGACTGATTATTCGAAGTCGTTCATGGATTTTTATTCCGAGGAAGCAAAATGTAGTAACCATTTGGATTTCTCTTTATGTGGACGACGCCTTAACAAATGAAGCCTCGAAAACATCATTGTTAGAGAAGACCAAATATCATTTTTTTTTTTTAAGGGTGTCAGATGTATATATTTATTCAATCGTCCGACTGCATTGACTTTGTGAATCAATAAAATCATTCAATGAACAGATTTCCGATCAGAAAAGAAATAAATAACGTGATTTGTCACGTGTTAATTGATCGCTGTCTTCGACCTTATCAAGATCTGCAGAAAACTAAACTGAGGTCAGGATGTTGTCCCAGAAATTTTCTAACCAGCCGATAGTATGAAAACAAACAAAAACGATTATGACGGTCATGCCCAGAGTTAATGGAGTTCCGAGAACGACCCAAGGCAAAAGCTAGGATTTCAAATTTTGATTTTCTTGGAAGAAAGACATAATAGAATGTTACGCGCATACAAATAACGCCAATACATTCGTAGTACACACACACACACACACACACACACACACACACTCACTCACTCACTCACTCACTGTGGTGTAATGGATAGCGGCTCGGATTGAGGAACCGGGTTCGAATGCCAGTCGAATACATTTCATTCACTTACGTGCTAATACCTTTGGGAAAGGTATAAATCCTCTTCCCCCACCCCTGTTCGAGCTGTGGGTAAAAAACAGGACAGACTGTGTTCTATAGCTTTGGATAGCAACTGGTCTACCGCAGAAAGACATAGCACCGTACTGCAAGAAATAAAATCTGCCTCGTCTGTCATGTATCAAAAGATACATGATCACCTATACGTGTATCCCGCATGGCGTATAACTAACTAACTATAATATAAGAAAAGATTTTGTACTGAAAAATTATTAACCTCGGCCCAATTCCCAAAATTATTTTTCTGATTAGTGTTCATTTAAAAGACTGATTATTGAATGTCCTTCTAATGGATTTATTTTCACCACATATATATATATATATATATATATATATATATATATATATATATATATATACGATGATGGGAACGAATAGAGTACAGTTCCAACGTTCGTAACATTTAATTTAAAAGTGGGCTCAATACAGAGTAGCGCATATATATATATATATATATATATATATATATATATATATATATACATATACATACATACATACACACACACACACATATATATATATATATTTATATACATATACATACATACATACACACACACTTATATATATATATATATATATATATATATATATATATTGATGCATGTTTCATTAAATAATATAGACAAGTTTTGTCTGTTTATTTTAAGTAAGTTCCTTTCATATTTTCTTGATAAGCTTAATAACATTATCATTGAAACACGAAAGGAAATCACCATATTGATTCATGTTTAAATCCAATCTAAGCTTTCAGCTTACATAAGCCATTATCAAAGATGACAATTACTTTTCAATATATCAACCAATACACGGAACAATAAGTCTGTTTTTTTTTGCATAATATATATATATATATATATATATATATATATATATATATATATATATATATATATATATATATATATATATATATATATATATATATATATATATATATACATGTCTGTGTATGTGTGTGTGTATAGATAGATAGATAGATAGATAGATAGATAGATAGATAGATAGATGCCAGAATTTTATGTGATCTGCTTAGTTCTATCAGTCTACAAGATCACACGTCTTATCATCCTAGTTCTTGTCTTTGAAGAAAAGCTAATGACGGGTACGTGTCGGGTGGACGCACTAAGGGGTATCATAGCAGTCCGCAACTGGGAAATGTAGAGAACAAACGTGGTGGACCATTAGCCACTACCTGTCTTTCAAGAGACCCGGATACCCGGCCTACCGATCAATACTGACTGTAAAACACAGCAGCAACTGCCTTCATTTCATTCTTGTTCAATGCAGAAGACAGCGTATTCACATACTGGTTTAACTCTTTTGAATTTCCTCTGTCACACCCGAGGTAGGGATTGTGACGCGTCTGATAAACACGTTTATTTCTCCTTCTGACTGATTTATTTGTTACGTCTTATCAACCTTTGCAGGTTATTTAAAGCCAGAAAATCTTTTCAGAGTGCAAGACATTTTTTAAAGATAATGATGAGTTACTGATACAATCTTACTAATTAACCCATAGCTGGGGGGGGGTAGAAGACGAGGATTCATACATTTTCCAAGATCATTTGCGCGTAGTTGAATATTACGAGCCCGACTGGAATTGGAACTCGGCTCTCCGATTTCCAATTCCGACCCGTTATCCATTACGCCACCTGCTCATCCAAGCTTATAGTACCTGGTATTCCCAAGTGGTCACCCATCTAGGTACTGATCAACCTCGACGTTGCTTAACTTCGATGATCATACGGAGCTTCCATGCGATATAGCCCCAAGCACTTTATATCACACGCACAGCTAAGCTTACAACACCTGGTATTCCCATGCAGTACTGACCGGCCTCGACGTTGCTTAACTTAGGTGATTGGAGGTATTAGTTCTTCAAGAAGATCCATGGCTTTCCTGCTAACACGCGGTTCGATGCAAACTAGGCTATTCGAGATTAAATTCCTGTATCCTGTAGACTTCAGATTTATATCAATATATCTAAGTCTGGCACAAGGCTATAAATTTAAAGTAATATTCTGCAAGACGAGCGAATAAACCATCGTGCCATTTATAGTAATGTATTAAGCTTCGCATTATATGGCTTAATGAGTAACGACTGAATTCACTATATTATCTAGACCAGCGCGATAACCCCTAATCCACAGAAAAGTGCATAATTGCCTCTAATGACAAAACAAAGCTTCGTCTGACACAAGGTCACGAGTATAGAGCATCTGTTAATAATCGGACTCGATATTTAAATTTTAGCGTATTGATCGCAGTCAGGATCATAGTGTTTCCACGATTCTTTCGTTGGCTACATATTATGTGACACGCTAGGGCGGCATACGGTTTTAAATTCAGAGTTTTCCTTCTCCTAGGCTGTTTACCAAGCACATCTAGAGAATCTACTCTGCTTTACTATTCAACCCATAGCTGGAGGGGAGAAGAAATCGGTTCATACCTTTCCCAAATGTAATTCTGCGAGAGTGAATGTAATGAATTCGCCGAATTCTTAATCCGAGTTGTGAACTTGTACAATACCAGCACATTCACGAGTTAAGCTTAGTACATAGCATTATGGAAGAAATCGAGTAAGAAGATTGTATTGCGCCAATATTCAAACATTATTCGAAATCGTCGCAAAAAATCAAAGCAAAAACCAGTGTTTTCGAGGCAAACAAGCAGACACTACCTATTTAGTTATCTGACGCAATACAGACTTTCTTTCGATTAATTCATTTTCGGCTTGATTTAAATATTTATGGATTCAGTTCCGCTGTTCGCCTTGATCCCCGGGAGAGAGATTTCCAGGCAACTAAGCGGATTTTGGAAATCACGGATATTTTTAAAAAAATTGTCTTCAGGATGTTTTTCCTATAAAAAAACTCATATAAGGTTTAATTCATAAGTTAAGATCATGACTCTCCACAACTTCCTGTCCTTTGTAGCTCTCTTAGAAGTTTTGTCTTTAATTTATCTCTCCTAAACTTTGTTCTGCCATCCACTCACACAAGCTCACACTCTAACATTAGCATTAAGACGTTTTTAAATTGCATCTAAGGTTCGTTGTCAAAATTGTTTTTTTTTTTAATTAACATTGAAGTTTACTTAACAATGTTTCCCCCTCTACTATTCTTAAAAGAATGCGCAATACAGAGTAGAACAAATATAATTTTAAAAGCTATTATTCTACATTCAACACCATCACTTGATAAGACACCAGAAGTAGGTAGGTTATGTGTTGTTTTCTTCTTTCCCTCTGTGAGTTTCAAATTTTCCAAGTCCTCATTCCTCATTTTGTGCCTTAGAAATTTCAACTGTCCTGGATTGGCCTTGTAATTGGCCCTGTTCTGGCTTCTCGTCTGCAGTCGCTCTCTCACAGACGCGCCGTCGCCTCTCTCTGTTTTTTTTACAAATACTTTCATGGCAATTGCTCCGAGGAACTGCATCCGCTGGTTCCCAGACTTCATGAATTCAAGCGCCCTACGAGGCTGGCATCCCGCTCTCACCCTTTCACTGTCGAAACTACTAAATGTAGCCGTCTCTTCTACTCCAATAGCTTCATCTCTCGCACCTCTCGCCTGTGGAACTCCCTTCCCTATTCCAGTTTCTCTAAGAGCTATAATCGCCAACTATTCAAATGTAATGTCAATTGACGTCTCCAGATGCCTTGATCTATCCACTATCCTTCTCCTCATCCTTTGCTCTATCACTCCTATCTGATCTTGCTCCAAATCTTCTGTAACCCCCTTGCGTCCTAGTGGCTTCCCGCCTTGCTTGGGGTGAAACGCTTAAAAAAAGAAAAAGAAAAAAAAAAGTATAAGTTTCTTTTTTGTTTTCATTAAAACTTCTTCATTGTTCATATGTTCAGTTTCATGTTTTCAGTATTCCTCTGTAGAGTCAGATATCCGTTGCTTCAAGTCTCTTCTTCATCCGTGAAGAGATTGTCGAACATTCACTGCCGTAAATAAAGTAGGACTGATATTAAATAACAGTTGAATCAATTATAATAATATACAGCATTTCTGTAATTAGAATTTCTTAAGAACATTTTCAAATAATTTCTTCTTCAATCAGTTATGTGCCATGCGTGATACACGCTTAGGCGATCATCTATCTTACGATACAAGACTGACGAGGCAGATATTTTTTCCCGCAGTAGGTTGCCATTTCTTTCTACGGTAGACCAGTTGCCATCCAAAGCTATAGAACCCAGTTCTGTCTTATTATTTGCTGTGGGGGGAGGGGAGAAGAAGAGGATTCATACCTTTCCCAAGGGTATCAGCACGTAAGGGAATATTAGTTCAGTTATGTGGCATACGTGATACACGCTTAAGTATAGAAGGGGAGAAGAAGAGGATTTATACCTCCTCTTCTCCCCTTTGAATTTGACTGGAATTCGAACTCGGCTCTCCGATTCCCCCACCAAGCCTCTCTTCTTATTAACTCTTAAATGGTGGGTAACTTTGTATGAACGTGGTCCATCCAAGCGAGTAAAAAAAAGAGCAAATTCATTTTTTTAAAGGGTAGTTCCACGTTTGTTTCAAGTTTATTAAAGAAATATATATATATATATATAGGAGGCACTCTGTCTCGCTCTCTCTCCCTCTCTGTCTCTCTGTCTCTCTCTCTCTATATATATATATATACATATATATATTTGGAAAAAAAAAAATATATATATATTTGGAAAAAATATATTAGCAGCAATACAGTTTTGAAGAACAAATATTACCAGCAATACTTTTTGGGAAAAAAATTATACCAGCAATAAATATCTTGTCGGCATTAAAAAAACCCATTGAGGTTGATATATCGTAAAACAAAACAAAACAAACTATACTTCTTTGAAAAAAAAGTATTACCAGATATTACCAGCTATACATTTCAGAAAAAGATTACCAGCTATATATTTTTTGGAAAAATATTACCAGAAATCCATTTTGGAAGGAAAAAATATTACCAGAAATCGATTTTTGAAAAAAAACAAATTTTCAAATATAAAAATTTAGTCGGCATTACTTAAGCCATTGAGGTTGATATGCCGTAAAACAAACCAAACCAAACTAAAATAAAACAAACCAAACCAAACTAAAATAAAACAAACCAAAACAGACCAAACTAATACAAAACAAACCAAATCAAAACGAAAAATACCAGCAATAAGTGATTATGAAGCATGATCTACAAAATGATTTTGATATAAAATATATATATATATATATATATATATATATATATATATATATATATATTATTCTAAATCTTATATATAAAAATTAAGATAAAAGGGAAATAAAACAAACGGAAGTTTCTAAATTTATTATTCTATTATCGATATTGTACTGCGTGGCCGAATAGTTAGAACGTTCGATTTTTGACCATGAGACCCCGGTTCAAATCTCATCATTTCCGCGACTCCAGCGTGCCTGAAAAATATCCATGGGTTGACCTGGGTTTGAAATTGGGTTGACAGAACTATTTGGCGTCTGCAGTAGAGATTTGCTAGTCGCTATAGTAGATTGGCATATTCGGTTACAACCAGTCAGCCATATACAATGATGTTGTGCTTTCTATGCACCAAGTTGTCACCATTTTTCTTCTTCGGGGACGATGCACGCAGACTGTTTTCGGCTTTGCAATTCCTAGTTTCTTAACAGGAAAATCTGCCTGAAAATGCTAGCGAATCCTTGTAAATAGTAAACCGACGAAGCCTAGAGTTGCCAACGTCCTGGATATGATGATAAACTCCGTCCGCGTCCTGGGTAAGACGATAAACTACGTCCTGGGTAAGACGATAAACTACATCCGATAGTAAGGCATCTGATTAGGAGGGTTTGAGGAGCGTGGGACCACCTCTTAATTGCTGGTGTTCCCAGGTCCACCCTGACCTAGGGTGGTAGCACCTGTTAGTGTCCCAAATATGGGTAAATAGTTAACACCCAAACTGGGGTTAAAACATCATAAAAGTGTAAAAATAGGTTTTAATATCAGAAATATTTTTTTTAAATTGTTACCAGTAATTCAGTTTTGAAAAAAAAAGATATTACCAGCAATAAAAATCTTGTCGGCATTAAATAAACCATTGAGGTTGATATACGTAAAACAAAACAAACCAAACAATACTTCTTTGAAAAAAAAATATTACCAAGTATTACCATCTATATATTGACAAAAAAAATTAACAGCTATATATTTTCTGGAAAAAATAATACCAGAAATAGATTTATGAAGGAAAAAATATTAACAAAAAACGATTTTTGAAGGAAAAATATTACCAAAAATCGATTTTTCAAAAAAAGAAAAATAATACCAACAATAAAAATTTTGTCGGCATTAAATAACCCATTGAGGTTGATATGCTGTAAACCGAACAAAACAAAACAAACCAAACCAAACTAAAATAAAACAAAACAAAGCAAAACGAAAAATACCAGCAATGTAATTGTCTCTCGCATCTCGGCCCTATTTACAAAAGTGATAATAAAGCATGATCTACAAAATGATTTTTGTTATAAAAATATTTTCTGTTCAAATATATATATATATATATATATATATATATATATATATATATATATATATATATATATATAGATGAAGAAATATTTTAAAAGTGTGCTATATTTATGGGATGAAGTGCTTAATATTAGAGATAGACCGCGTGGCCTGACGATGGGGTCTATCATGAAACAGCCTGTCGCCTCGAAGTTTTGACTTCAATGTTCATTTATATATATATATATATATATATATATATATATATATATATATATTCTAA